TGTAATTCAGTTCATGTAGTCAGGCAGTGCCAGCTGAGGGAGTTTGTGTCTCAAGTTGCCTGTTTGCATTTGTTCTCTTGTGCTGACAAACCATTCTGTGAGACAAATCAGTCAAATGCAATTGCTGAAAAGATAACCCCTGTCAAGGGAGTTTTTCATAACAGAAGTTGTTTCACAGCAGTTGTTAGAATTGAAGGATTACAGGGGTATGTATGACCTTAACCTGGCAGTACTTCTGAGGAAAGGATGCTTAGAAACAAGATGGAGAGTGCCCAGTCTTTTTAATTCTCCAGGATCTTCCCATCTTTTTCCCCTTCTCCTGCTGTAGGATTGTGGTGAAGATCTGGGAGTCAGAGGCACCAAATGAACTTTGACATTTTCTAACCTGTAATAAAGAGGTTAGATTTGCAAACAAGTCAAAACTAACAGAAATCTAACCTGGATTTTGGCAAATAAATTCTATGCATAGTAAGTTGTCATGGTTCACAAATTGGACTGATTTACATAGTTTCACCATCAGAGGGAAGTTTACATTCCTGTTGAAAGAGAATGATGACTATCTCCTGTTGCTGCAGCATATTGTAAGCTTATTCATTAAGTAGATGAATAGAAAGTCTTCTGCCTGTCTTGCTGGAGAGTATCTGTGGTTATGATGAGCCCCCATGGTGAAAAATCTGAGCGTTTTCAGAACTTCACAAGACCAACTTCTCAAGAAATGTTCAAAGTGCATTACTATTTGGAAGTGTATTTCAATTTATAGATACATTTTACTGACTTCCTCTGCTCACTTCTGAAAGATTGTATGGGTGCTTCGGTACTTTCTTTGCATGTGAAGTGCTTGAGTAAGAATACAGACACAACATACTCAGTATTGAGTAAGGGATGTAAAGCCAAGGTAGACTGGACATACTGTATGACATGCAGTGCAGCTTAGTTGTGCGAGGTAAAGTAGACTTTTATATTAGGTAAAGTGTTTATTTCTTTTTCCCTTGGAAAACCAAGATCTCTGGGTATTTTGCAATGCAGAGTTCTTTGAGTTATTTTTTTAAGATTGTGGGGAAATTGTTACTGAAAGGTTACTGATTTTGTTGGTAACTGTGAATGGTATTTTAGGAAGGTGCTATGGAAGTAACTTAAGGGAAGACTTGAAAACAAGTTCTGGAAAATGTGGAACCTTCAATTTCAAAATTGGCAAGCAAGAAGTTAACCTCAGTTTGCATTTGCACTTCCAACAGGTATTTATTTTAATGGTAGGTGTAACTTTTTGGCACTCCATTATAGTGGAGAGGCCTGTGGCATGGCAAAGTTACTAATGTGCTAGGCATGTAGTTCTTGTGTTGGTCTGCACTGGATTCCTTGTGCTTTCTTAAGTCATGTTTCCAGAAGGCACTTCAGAGACACGTACTTAAAGTAACTTAGAGCTTGCTACTTAAAATCAATTTTTTAGAACAGTAGCTCTTCCCACTTAATCTCCATTAAAAACACTAGGGGAATGTTTCTCTGAAAACAAACTTCTTATCCATGTGGAAAGCAACAGTTAAGCTAGTGTCAGCCTATTGTGATAACTAACCCTATTTTCAGTCTATGTGTTAGATAAAGCATAAACTGCCACAGCAGGAGCTACTTCATCAGCTGTTTAGTCATCACTTCAGCAGTGCTATCTCCCACAAAGAGAGCAGTGTGGACAATGGAGAAGTGTCTGTTTTATTGGCTCAGACCTTTACTGTGTGTCAAGATCCTTCAGTGTCTGGAGTTGCTATTGTAAATTTAGGCTGTTGTATAAGTCAATGTATAGACTCATTTAAGTGCTTGTGCTAGAAAATAATGCACAACACATTTTTGTTACAATTTGAATGGAGTTATGGGACAAACTTCAGTACTTAATAACATATGTATGTTTCTGAAGACTTTTAAAATGGGAAACTCACAAAAGTAGTTGTTGCTTTTTAAGTGGAGATCTGTACTAGATTATGTGTAATAAATGGATTCTTTCTTCTAATAGGACATCTGAACTTGAGGCTCACAAGAATCTCAAAACGAAACTGTAAAGCAGAATGATGTGCATATATTCATGGCAAAAAATTATATATGAGATTAGATACAAGAAAGAAACTCTTCCCTGTGAGGTTGCTGAGGTGCTGGCACAGGTTGCCCAGAGAAGCTGTGGCTGCCCCATCTCTGGCAATGTTCAAGGCCAGGCTGGACAGGGCTTGGACTAACTGCTCTATTGGAAGGTGTCCCTACCTGTGGCAGGGGGCTGGAACTGGATGAGCTTTAAGGTCCCTTCAGCACAAACCCATACGATGATGTTGTCTTTCCTTATTCTGTACAAGATCTTCCACACCTTTGTTGCAAGTACTGGAGGAGCCAACACTCCTGCCTCTGAGCTACTTCGTGTAGTCTCTTAAACCAGATAAAAAGCTGTAAAGAAAAATCTTTGAACCTCTGAAAGAGAAATAGGACTGTTAAAACACTTGTAAAACAATTTCAAGGTGCACAAGTAAATTTGCTTTAAGTGCTTCGCACTACATGTAGTGCCTTATTGACCCGCTGAATATGCTAAGTCAAGTTCATGGATGTAATTTGAAGTATCGAAATACTTTAATAGTTTGTAATGATGAGTCATTGCCAAGAAAAGAATTGTTGTCTGAGACCAGGTTATAGTTTCACAACTATTTTTCATAAGGCTGTGCTGATCAAGCCTTGCCTGGCTTTTGAATGGTGCTATGTGCTAAGTGTGTGTAGTCAGAAAAGTTTGGGGAAGTGATGAAGGGAAACCGTTTTTTCCCCTCTCATGACTGACTTACTGCAGACGTGTTTGTTTCTGAGCCTGTTGGGTGTGTAAATGACTATGCAGATACAAAGGAGAGAGTAGAATATGGTTGCAACAGGTATTAAGGGTTGGCGCCCTGCTTTAGAGGCCCTTGTGAAATTTTAAGCTATTGTACAAGATAAGGGACAGTCTTGCAGTGAGGTACAAAAGATTGTAAATTTAAATAATGAAATATTTTAGGGATATGAGGTTATTCAGAATAATGTAGAAAGTGGTCAGGGACACCTCACACTAGACCATGTCACCCAAGACTCTGTCCAACATGGCCTTGAACACTGTCAGGGATGGAGAATTTACCACTTTGGGCAACCTGTTCTATCTGTAAGAGCTTAAAGTAGAACTGTGGAAAAGCAGCAGTAACTTTAAATGGTTTTCACATGAGAAGCTGCAGAACTGGTAGGATTCTTACCTGAGAAGTATGTCTGGGTGGGTGTAAACGTTGTTACTGGGGCATGAAGGGAAAAGGGACAATGACAGTTAAGTTTTCTCATGCAGTGGTGAAGGGTGTCAAATGAAGTGACAGTGTGCCAGCTGTGAAACAAGCCAGAAGTAGTACTCCTTTAAAGGTTCAACAAAACATGTAGTAAAACATGCAGGAAAAAGTTCCACTAAGGACTAAAATACAGAGGCATTACTGCTCAAGATATTTGGATCCACAGGCTGTAAAAGACCTAGAGAATATCTGGGAGAGGAGTGCTATTCTTGGAGCTAGTTTTTGTTTGTTCAGTTTTTTTTTCCTGTACCTCTGGTCTTCCCCAGTCACCTGCTGGAATATTTCTGCGTTTGAGATCAGGCAGGACTTAAATTGGTGGCCCAGTTGTACACGGCGATGCTAGAGTTAGTTACTGGGCAAAATGGAACACTTCTCTGGCCCATTGTCTGGCCTGCTCTCAATGTCATGACCTACACTGATTATAAATGTGCTTAAAATAGCTGTCTAACTTTCTTGTGTCTAGCCTTCTTGGTTTAAACTGTCCAGTCCAAAAAAACTGATTGCTTTCTAGAATACTAACTTTTGCATTTCTGCATATTTTTGGTGTTTTCAGTCATTATAATTCCAAGTTTATTTTCATATTGAAAGTAAATAGTAAACATTTAGGGAGAAAGGATTCCATCCTCTTTGAAACTTTAGAGGAACTTCTCTGGCATCTGAATAGTAATTCTCATTAAACTGTATAGGGTGCTGATTCATTTACTGGTTTTATTAGTGCTTTGATTAATGCAAACATTTCTGGGGCTAATAATGCACCTAATCTATTTAGAATGAGGTGAAACTTTGCTTTTTCAGTTGACTCCATGTAACTCTCTGTTCTGTCCTTGTATCTCTGTCATAGTAATTCATACATTTAGTTTCTAAAGAGAAAATACATTTGGATATAAGGATAAATTTGTTTTACAGTCAAATTCTGCTTATTACTTATGAAGATTGTTGCTTGTACATTATCTGGTCCTATGTTACAATTTTCTATATTTTACTCCTCGGAGTGTTTTGTAGCTAGTCTGACATAAAAGCATAATCACACTTACAGATGAATATATGTTGTGGAATTGTATGAGGAAAAACTATTATTGATTAATGTAATTTTGAGCTTTGTCTGTGAATAAAAGTTTCAAGATCTTTTGCTTTTCTTTCCTTATTCTCTGAATCTAACAAAGAGGAAAACATTTTACATTAGAAGTTTAGCATGTAGAAATTCTTCCTGTGCTGGAAACCTCTATAGCTACGCTTAGTGGCAAAGCATGATGTTGTGTTTGGAGGTATCTTGAGTAGTGCTCAACCTGGTTTCTTTCCCCACACCTGCTTAACCCTAACCTTTAGTACCTTTTTAGCTTCCTTGGAATTTTGGAAAACTGTCAGTCATTAAAGTGACTAATTGTTTTGCCTAAGTAGTTCTGTATTGAATCCTTTGATGCATTTTTTTTTGGTGACTTTATGAAGACTCTCTGAGCTGAAAAGCTTGTGTCCCCATCCTCACTTATATAAATTGTTTTCATAGAAGACATTTTTTTACATAAACTTGTCTCTTTCAAATCTTGTAGACTCTTATAGTAGCCAAGGCTACTATAAGGTGAGTTTTAGCTGTGAATCGTATTAATATTCAAAACATACGGTTTTTCTACTTTAACCTAATTCTGATTATCTTTTCTCTTTCTTCCCTATCTTTAGAGACTCTACAGCGGTGGGTAATTCACTGGTCCATAAGCGGTCTCCTGTACGTCGAAGCCATAAGAGCTCAGCATCTCTGACCAAGCCGTCATTACGTGATGGACAGAAAGCCAAAAAGCCACTGTGTAAATTTGAAGAAGGTCAGGATGTCCTAGCTAGATGGTCAGATGGCTTGTTTTATCTTGGAACTATCAAAAAGGTAAAGGATTTATTAAAACTCACTGGAGTCTTACAGTACCATGTTTGTTAAATGTTATGGTATTGTTGTGTCTCTCTGTATTAAGTACATTATTCTGTCTAGTATTTTTACTCATGGCTTCTGCTGTATTTTTGGTTTTCAGATAAACAAACTGAAACAGAACTGCTTCATTATATTTGAAGACAGTTCCAAATCCTGGGTTCTCTGGAAGGACATACAAACAGGCAAGAACTTCAGTGAAGTAGTTTTTGTTGGGTATTTTGTGTAGATTACTATATCTGTTAAAATAAATTATTAGAGTATATTTTTGTATCCTAAAGAGTGATATAGTTTAACATGACCCAGGATCCTGATTTAGGTGAATAAAAAAGTTCTTTTCAGTTAATTCTTTATCATTGCAGTTGCTTTTTCTGTTTGCTTGTTTTCACATAACTATGTGCAGGAAGGGGAGAACACTTCTAAGCATAATCAAATTTGAGTTTTTTTGGATGGGAATAGAGTATAATACTCTGTCATAGCAGAAAACTCCAGGCCCTAATTTACACAGAGTTTATGTCCTCCTATGTTTTCAGTTGAAACATCATGACGTCGAAAGAAACCAAAGACTGGAAAATCAATCCTAGGTTTGAATGGAGTTTTCACATTTAAAAGTAATACCTTAATTGTTGCACATAAGGAACCATTACAAATTTTGGAGTATTCATGTGATATAAAGAAATATGCAGTTATTAAGTGAAACATCTATTGTACATGAGCTTTGATTTTTGCAATATTTGGGGAGCAGCTAGTATTTTGATAACCTAATGCTATTGAAGTATGGATGACCGTTTCTCATGAAAAACTGTTACAATTCCCTCATCTCATACAGGCAGTGGAAACTTCATCTGGCTCTTGCAGTTTCTTGGTATTTAAACTGAACACTATCTGCTAACAGGACAAGCTTTGTATTTGTAATAGCAAAAAATCTGCCTTATTTCTGAGAAGCTTTTAAAGTACTGCTACTTTGCCTCTGTATAGTACTGGTTTATGATCTTTGCTACACTTATCAAACTTTAGTGCATGAATATAACATGTAGACTAAGAAACTTTTATCCCAGTTTTTTTTACACTGGTAGGTGGTATATAATAGGAGCAAGATGCAGTTTTGTTTCCTGTTTGCAAGGCCACTTTTTTTTCCTGTCTCTACTGTTACTGTATGCTTTTGTGTGCTCGCAGATATGCGTAAGCAGTAATAACATATTTCCTCAGGGCACTGGAGTTTAATATTAAAGCACCCTGGGCAGATCTGTCAAAGGGTAAGCACCAAGTTGTGCATATGAAAAGAAGCACAAACTACTGTAAATACAAAACATACCTCTCAGTTGTCCAGATAGGATTTGTTTATGCATATTTTTTTTTAGTCTGCACTTACAGTCTTTATTCCTTTATTCTGTGTTTTATAAAGGGACCATGGACTGCATAGTAAAAATACATAGCCTATAAATATTCAACAACCTATGATAAGTGACATCAATATTTGTAATGCATGCGGTCTGTACAAAAGGTCAGAATGTGATTTTGTTAGGAAATGAGGATTTATAACAATATGATTCTACAATGAATGGATTTGTAACTGAAATAACAGAAAAAATACATACACATGGTAACCATTCCAACTGCAGTTGTAAAGAAAAAAATCACACTTTCATCTTTGTCTAGGAGCCACTGAAAGTGGGGAAATGGTCTGTACAATATGTCAGGAAGAGTATTCAGAAGCACCGAATGAAATGGTTATATGTGATAAATGTGGGCAAGGTAACTAGAGTCTTTCCTATTTACTGCATTTTAAAAGATGTTTTGATTTGGTTTATGAAGGAGAATATTTGCCTGGCTGCTTAACTGAAGTTAACTTTTATAGCCCTTCGTGGCTATTAACAGCTCATTGAATAACGATAATCCATGTTAAAGTGACTAACAAATGTTCTGTAAGTAAAGTTTATTTTTTATACTAAGAAGTTCAAAAGAACATTATGAATGTGTTACCAATCTTTTAGATCAAATTTTTGGCACTTTATGATGGATAATGTTTTATGTTTGGGTTAAAATGATACGTAGTTAATTCTTTGTAAGCTTTTTCTGTTTTAATAACGCTTTGGTCATTTTTCATAAGGCTACCATCAGCTGTGTCACACACCAAATATTGATTCCAGCGTGATTGAATCAGATGACAAATGGCTCTGTCGACAGTGTGTTTTTGCAACAACAACAAAGGTGTGTTTCTAGAAAAACATGTCTTAATACATCCCATATTGTGTACATACTTTGCTTCTGAAGCTGAAACACACAAAAATACTGAATTTTCTCAGTGATTTCTTACTTGTTAACTTTGACTTGAATGGAGATTTTATATGTTGGGAGTTAATATGTATTTTAGTTATAATTACATTAGGCTTTCAGTTTATCTTTAAAATATGCCAATATTAGAAGAAACACAGGTGATAGTATTTTATTATAGACAAATTTTCATAACTTTCAAATTGAAGGATTTGCAAGTTTCAGTAATACGTTATTGCTTTTGTAAACTCGTGTATTTGTCTTGGACCAGAGGGGAGGTGCGCTTAAGAAAGGACCAAATGCCAAAGCACTGCAAGTCATGAAACAAACATTACCTTATAATGCAACAGACCTTGAGTGGGATGCAGGTCATAAAACCAATGTCCAGCAGTGTTACTGCTATTGTGGAGGACCTGGAGAGTGAGTAAATAGATACTGTAAGAATGTCTGTCTGTCATACAGTTGATCCTGTAGACTTGTGAATGTCTTTGTTTCTCTTGCATGTAGATACTAAACACAGTGCAAAGTGGCATTTTCAATTTTTTTGTAATGTCTTTCCTTCTCCCATCAGATCTTTTGTTTTAATCTTGTCATGTGACCATCACATAACATTACAGTCCATTTTACAAGCAGGAACTTCTTTTGCATTGCTACTCTTAATGTTTTGGGATTTGATGGATTTTTTTTTTTTTTTTAATCTTGCAATTTTAGGCAGTGTATCTCTATCACTAGTCACAAATATAAATGTATTTAGGATTAGTCTATTAAATTTTGTTGAAATAGACAGCTGATTCTACTGCAGTATCATACCCTGGATTGCAGTTCCTGGCGGGGGCGGGGGGGACTTTTTTCCCCTTGTGACATTAGAGTCCTCTGCTGGTTCTTTCCCTAAAAGAAAGGGAACAAGTGAACTTCTTAAGTAGACAGAGATAAATACTCTGGTGTCTGCATGGATGAGTAAATAGATAAAATAGCACTGGAGTCAAGAGTCTCACAAAGAAGTGAAGCTCTTGAGTTTATGTTTGCAGAACAGAGCTCTAGTTTGAGAATTTTGCAGACTTGGACAAACATTGCCTTCAATGTTGCATGGTTCCTTTTATCAAGGGAGAGCTGAAAAAGGAAAATGAAAATAAACCTCTGTAAACTGAGGTTTGTTTTAAGGATTTGAGTAGTCCAGTCCTCAGAACAAATGTTCTGACTTAAGGCAGCTGGAAAATAACAAGGAAGTGAATCCAGTATGCAAGAAGAAGCTTATATGGTTACTGAATTCTTATTAGAGATAATAAAAATATGGTTTTCATAGGAAATTAAGCTTTATTTTTTTCATTTATTAACTTAGTTCATCCTTTAATAGACAATCTTTTATTATTCTTAGTCACTACTTTTCTAGTAATGATTCATGGTGGAGCTAAATGTTTCTGAAATATCCTTTCAGATGACTGTCAGGGTCAGAAGACCCCTTGCTACTTAATTTAAACATAATGAAGAACAAAAATAAGGAAGAACAATTGCCAGTGACTTTTTTAACACATTTTTCTTTCTGTTGTTGAAGCTGGTATCTAAAGATGTTGCAGTGCTGCAAATGTAAGCAGTGGTTTCATGAGGCTTGTGTGCAGTGCCTCCAAAAGCCAATGCTTTTTGGTGACAGGTAAGAAAATGAAGCTGTACTTCATGGTTGCCTTTATTTAAAATATGGGGATCTCCCATATGAACTTTTATTAGGGTATCCATAATACAACACTGCTTTCCAAAAATGGGGTGAGTTTTGGATAGATCATACAAGCTAAAGCATGTGTTCAGCTGCCAGGAAAATGCAGTTCATCTCAGTTCAGTGGAGTGGGTTGTGGATGGTTGAAGTCAAATTGCTACTGACCTCACTTTATGCCGAAGTCTATTATACTACGGGTGCTGTCTAGTAGGAGATTGCAAGCTTCAAATCAGACTGCTTTAGTGGGTCTGAAAGTTGGATAAGGGCTTTCAGGTTCACACTGTATAGGTGACCAATGTCTCATATGGAACAGACACCATGCTCCAAGGTAGGTTGCCATTGTGTACATGTGGTAGTAGTTTCTTGTACTAACAGCATAGGGAACTGGAGAAAGCCGGAAGGATTGTTACACTGAGGGGAGCTGAATACATCCTCTGTTGATATGTGATGAGTCAGGAAAAAAGAAAATAAGAGTGCTAGTCTGGGCTTTTGTTTTAAGAGGAACTTGGAGTAGTTGGAGCAGATGAGAAAACTGGAGAAGCAAATCAAGTAGTATCTCATTTGTTATCAGTTATACTTTCCTTTAGCTGTTGGTTGTGCTGGAATGTTTGTATGGAGGAACCGAGTTAGGACCTAGGAATGCATGGGTCCTTTAAGTGTATGCTTACACTGATGCATGGGTTTCTGCATGAGAGAATGGGGTGGGAACACTTCAGAACATTTCACAGGCATAGTCACAGGCTGAGGGACTTCCTTGGGGAGTATGAAACAGTGGTACCAGGATACAATTGATCAAGTACCTTATCTGGTAGGTACCAGTAGAGATTTTAGAAGTTAATGAAGGAAGGTGGAAGATGAAGGGACTCTCAAATATCATATGGCTGGGTTTCTAGCCTGCATAACTCATTTTTGCATAACTAGGGTGTTAAACATGAAGAGTGTGTGTACAGACACTCACCACCCAGACACATGTATATCTGTATATTTATATATTTTTAGGTTTTATACATTCATTTGCTCAGTTTGCAGTTCTGGACCAGAATACCTCAAACGTTTACCCTTGAGATGGTATGTATGAATTAAAACCAGGAATTTAATACATGCTCTGAATTTCTCTTTGGTGTTTTGGTCCTCCTTGCAAAAAAGGAAATCCACTTGATGTCTTGTTGTTTCCTGAGTTGCTCTTACTGCTTGTACTAACAGGGACATCTTTTCTTCTAAGTTAATCCTTAAATGTAGAGATATATTACAATTGCATGCTTTTGGGTTTATTCCTGGGATGGTTCAGTGAAGTAGTGAGCAACTACTCACTTGTATATGTGAAGACTGAGATCTGAACAAAATCTTTTTTGCAGTCTTAGGATCCTAACGTCAGATAAGCCAAATGTAATGATTACTGGAGTACACATCTGTACACATAATAGTTTCCCCGATGAGACTTAATGGTTAATTGTAGTTTGAAATCTTTGAACTAACCCGTATTACAAATTATACTCAGTCTTGTGGATATATATGCTAACAAATACATGGTGGAAATAACTTGTTAAATGCTAATTCACCAGAATACTTGCATGAGCTCAGAATCTATAGATTCAAGTATAAATTTGGACTTACTTAACTATCTTGTGGTTTAAACCAGTTTTGGAGTTTAAAAAAACATGATCACAGTGAGATGAGGCAGAGATTAAAGTAAGATTCAAAGCAGAATGAATCACTTGAAGAGAAATGACAGGAAATTTCATAATGTTGTTCCCTGTATTGAGTGTTTAAGTTGTGCTTTGTGTTCCTCTGTCTATATCATGCTAGTATCTTCTCTAAGAAATTTTCAAAAGAAAAGCAGTTGGAAGAAAAAGAGTCTTTATTCCTGTCTTTTATTCCAATATTTCTGAACTCTAGGGTAGATATAGCACATCTATGCCTTTACAACCTAAGTGTTATTCATAAGAAGAAATACTTTGACTCAGAGCTTGAACTCATGGCCTACATTAATGAAAACTGGGATAGATTGCATCCTGGTGAGGTAAGTCATTGGAATACTTTCTTGGTTTTCCTCACAGTGCAATATATATGTCCTGAATGTTAGTGACCTATGAACTTTTTCATTCTGGATGTTGAATCCTTTATTATCAATCTAGTAATCCCAAATAATGAGGAGATAATCTTTAATTTTCTCTCAGAAATAGAATGATTTTAAGTACTGTGTGCTTTTTATGTGCTGTAAAATTTCTAAAATGATCCATGTAAATTATTTTATTATTTGAATGGTAACTTAATACTTGACAACCTAATTGCGCATATATATATATATACACACATATAATTCCTACTTCTTGGATAGTTTTGTGCAAAGACCAGGAAATCTGTTTTGAAGGTGTAACACATAACAAAATATTGTACATGAACATCTAATTTCCTCTTTTCTCGCTCTTCCAAGTATGGGGGTAATCAGTTTGTGTCCAGCTCTGAAGATTATCTGGATCCTTTTCCAGTCTGATTCTGCTACTTGTCAAGGCATCTTTTGTTTTTCAATCACTACTATATTAGTTGTTTCTCCAGCTATTTGATTTACTGTGCAGTTATTTTAGCATTAAAGGAAATCTGTTTCTTCAAGCAGACTGACTTCATATTTAACAAAGAGGAACAGTATAGGTAGTTGTTTCTGCATTCAAGTTTGCATGCAAAATTTATGTCTAAATTCAAATTGCCAAGCTGCTTAGTAGAGTATGCACTTTGTGCATGGAAATTTAGTGTTGTGAAGTTAAATGCAGGAGGCATAGAACTGGGCTCAAATTTTCTTATGAGTGCATCCCACTTTTATACTTCTCAGGAAAATTCATACATTTGTAATCCATTTCTACTAGCAGACACAATTTAAGAAATCAAATGTGTGTTCTTGGTCCTATCAAGTCTCAAGGTTTAACTAAAAAAAGGCTGAACAAAATGCAGTTCTCATATCATCCTTTCAATAGAATGAGATGTTCTGGCTGTCTTGGCTGTCTACAGTCTGGCAATTACATAAGCAGTGTTTAATTTTGACTACAGTTTCTTAGTGTTGAGGTAAATGTAGAAGACACTAATGTGTTCTTATTTCACATACAAAAATTTACTCTGGATTTCATAAAATTTCATGTCAGAATGGTGGTCAGAGCAGCTATGGTGGTGGTGAATGGAGCTATCTAGCTGCTGTTGACTTGGAGCACATATGCCATTTTGAAGAAATTGAAAGGCTACAGTCCTCATTGTGCTGCTCTTTCCCTTTATGCTCTCAATCAGTCCACGCTCAAGCTATGTGAAAACCACATAATTAAGGGAGGGGAGGAAGGAGAGGGTAGACAAGGAAACTCACCTCTTTAAGTGATACGCTCAGTTCTTTAATTGATATTTCTACACCTTAAAGGAAACTACTTTTAAGTCTGAAGATTCATTTCTGAAGGGGGTAGATTTTGGAATAATTACATAAACACTGAGTTGAGGAAATCTTCAAGACTTTATTCTGAAAAGATTTTAAATATCACTCAGTAAGTTGGGAAAAATTGTTTTGAGAGATCGGAGGGAAATGTACTTTACTACTTTGGTTCACCTAGTTTGTTCATTAAACAAATTAGTTGTAAAATTAATACCTACAATATAATGGTTTTAAGGTTTTGGTTTTTTTGGTTTTTTTTTTTTAATACTCCGAACTTGTCACTGTTAGAAATGACACCTCGGTTTCTTTCTCTAGCTGCTTATAATTGATTAAGAGGAAAAGTATTTTAGCCATAGTCAGATAGGAATAAGTGGTGGAATTATCAGAACTCCTGAGTCAATTGTTTAGCATCTTGTTATTTAGGATGCAAGAAACATGGCAGTTTTCTATAGTTAAGTGCTGCAGAGATGCAAGACCTTTGGATAGGGATGGATTGTACTGAATGCCTATGGTAAAGATGTGTGAAAACAGTTCTTAATTTCTTTGGCTGAAGTTGGTTGAATAACTCAACTTTGTTAGTCAGGTAGGTGGTGAATCTTGGCCCAGATTGGGCTAAAAGGTTGGCTTTTATATTTACTCATTGATTTAGCTGTTAGCACATTCAATCCTTCGAGCACTTCTGTCTGAAATAGTCAGAATTGTGGTTTTTTGGAAGTACTTGAAGGTGGTGGGTTTGGGGTTGTTTTTTTTTTTTGAGCTGCAAATGTTGTACAGTCTGCTGTGTTGTATTTATACTAATAGTAAAACTTACAAACTGTAGAACTCAAAGATAAACTTACTGCAGAGCCAATTGGATATAAGTTCTGGAACATTTTGTGTGGTGACTGGAAATATGGTACCTTCATTGGAATTTAAAAATAGCTGTCTAAACATAAAAATAATCTTATTTTAAATTCGATTACATAAATGTTGTGTCTAATTCTTCAGAGTCACCACCATACTTGCTCTGCTGTGTCTTTAATTCTTATATATGCCGTTTTTCAGAGAGAAGACTCCAGTGTTTTGGTAGCTTGATAGGGACTTCAGGCTTTGGTGTAAGAACGGGTCTGAGCAAAAGGGGCATGAAATGGATTTACTGTTTGGTTGGGTTTTTTTTTTTTTTCTTTCTTTCCCTATACTTTAACTTTTCTGGGCCTTATCCCTTTTTTGTATCTCATTGACTGATGTTGGCAAAAATGGGAATTGGATCCTGTGACAAGATTTGGTTAAAATGATCACCAATAAAATAACTTAAGTGTCAGTAATAGTTATATTCTGTTTGCAATCTCAATTAATTTGGACATATAATGCCACAGAAGAGTTCTTGTTAGCAGTTTTGGGAGAGCAAGCTAGTATTACGTTCTTTCAGTAAACTAAAATTCCTTGAGACATTTTTCCTGCACTTTGTACAAGTAAAACCCAAATTCTTTGGCCTTGATGCTGACATCAGTTCTGTGGGTGTAGGTTACGATGTATGGGATAATGATTAGTATCCTTTGGGGTTTGGTGGTTTCTACAGCTAGTACTTCATAGATGTACTTCACATCCAGTTCTGTAGTTACAGTGACACAAAGTAACTGCAATCTTTCTATTACTAAAGAATTTGATAGGTTAAATGATTTCTTAATACTTCACAGCTGGCAGATACACCAAAATCTGAAAGATATGAGCATGTACTGGAGGCATTGAATGATTACAAGACCATGTAAGTTATTGTTACTTTTTGTTTTGAATGTGGCTTGCCTGTTTAAGCTGGTGTAGATTACAGTGCTCAGTCTATCTGATAATCAGTTTGCCTGGAGATAACTCGTGAAATTTTAAATACTGTTTCTGTTTCAAACTGTAACCTAACTATTTGAGTGTAACCCAGATAATGAGAAAATTGTTTCAACTTCCACTCTTTCCACTTCACATCCTGTCATGTATGTGAAAGTGAGGATTGTGTTAGTGGAAAGAGAGGGATAAAATAACATTAGAATGAATAGTCTCACGTGTATAGTTTTGTTTTCTATGTATACTTTTACTATAAAAGTTGCTTTCTCTGGGGTCAGAATTTTAACAATTAATTTAAAATCATCTAGGTTTATGTCTGGAAAAGAAATAAAGAAAAAGAAACACTTGTTTGGCTTGAGAATTCGTGTTCCTCCTGTGCCACCAAATGCTGCTTTAAAGGCTGAGAAAGAACCAGAAGGAACTTCTCATGAGTTCAAAATTAAGGGCAGAAAATCATCTAAGCCAATCCCTGATGTGAGGTAAAATGACGCAGTCATTCTAGCAATGTTGTGGTAAATCGGGCTACTTCGGTTATATTTCTGGGGCCTACAAGAAGGACCTTTACATTGTAGAATGTATTTATTTTAAAGTAACTCTAGAGATGGGCTATTTGTGAGAAAAAGGTCTTTAAGGAAATTTTATTAGCTTTCTATTACCAAACCAAGCAAATATGTAGTAGCAAGAACAATAGGAAATATCCAAGTTTGCTGTCATTTAGCAAATAGAGTCTCTTGCATTTCAGGAGCTTTTATGCAGTAATCTAAATAAAATTCTAGATAGGAAGTATGATGTCAAGTTGTAACTTGTGTTAGTGAGTGTGCCCTCTTTTTTTATCAAGTGTGATCCTGTGAATAAGCAACACCTAACTCTGGTTCATTCCTCTTCAATGCTGGGAAATCAGTAATGTCACTAGAAAGATCTTGTATCTGTTAATGTTATTCTAGAAGCAAAAATGTGTAGCTTTGTACCTGACAAATTTTATTTATCAGAATGACCTCTTAGTGCATAGAAATCTAATCATGTATTCATTGCCAAACAAAAAAAAAATTAACTTTAGATGATCTTCAGTAATGCAGAACAAAATATCAATTTTCTTCTAGGGAATTAAGTAATGGTATAGAAAGAAAGGGGAAGAAAAAGTCAGTAGGTCGTCCACCTGGTCCCTATACAAGAAAAATGATACACAAGACTCCAGAGTCGTCTCCTCTGGTAAGGTTTTGGATATTCTCCCTTGCCCATTCCACTTTTCCCTGTAACTGGATTATAATTTTTGAGGAAAACCGTAACCAGTTAATGTGAATCATGGTATTTCCCCATTTGCCCTCAAACAAAGTTGATACAGCAGTTACATTACATTTGAAGTACTTTTTCTTTGTTTTCTTTTCCCCCCTTAGGATAGTGAACCAGTTCCAGTGATAGAGAACCCAACCTTGGAATTACCCTGCACTGTTGGGTAAATTAAAAAACCCAAACCCCCTAAAAAATACTGTATTATAATATCATGTAATTTATCTGTTTGCTTCTGAAATGTCAGCTCAGTTTTTACTATCTTATTTTCATTACATGGCAACTCTGTTATCGTGCATCTCAGGAAATCTGATGGAACTGCACATTCATCCAATACCTCAGATGTGGAATCCACAGGTGCTGCCAGTATGAAAGAAACTACCTCATCTAGCATTTCCAGACATTATAGGTAGTTATTCCATTACTCTCTGTGCTCTAAAGATCAATATTTGCAATATATTAATTTCAGTAGAACTTTCTGAAAGAGGGATGGAAAACAATTGGCTCAGCCATACTGCACCCTTAATAAACAGAAGTTGCAGGGATCCTAAAAGATACCTTGGCTGATGTATTATATGTAATGTTCTACATCAGGTGGCTTAAAACCTGAGGTTTTGTTATACTTCCAGTCCATTCTGAATCTTTTGGCTAACTTTCATGAAATCTGATGCAGGTAGTTCCATGAAGATAGATGCTTGGATGAGAGAGGCCCAAACCAGCAACCCCCGTTCACAGAAAGGCAGGAAATTTTCTAATCGTCTGTGGCCTGGGCATTGCCAGTGCTATTTTTTGGTGGTGTTTTTTGCCCTTGTTTTCTTTTTTGTTGAAGCTTTAGCACAAGAACTGTAGAAGATAAGGTGGGAGGTTGACTTAAGCTTATGAGACAGCTGTAGTAGATGTGAGATGGAGGTAAGGGTACTGCAGAACTCGTGGGAGAATAAATAAAGAAGAACTGAGGATATTGCAAAGGGGTATAACATTGAGGATGTGGTGACTCACTGAGATTTGGAGTAATGGGCAATGGAGACTGGATAGAGCTATGAGTTGCACAAGGAAATCTAAGTAAATGGGACAAAAAACTAGTTTTTACTAGTTCTACTTACCATGCACAGGGTGAGGTTTTTGTGCTCACTCACTACTGTTTTGTTGTTGTTAAATTAGATTTACTGAAAAGAATTAAACTCCATAAATGCTTCCTGAGTTTAGCCTTCTAATAAAAGCCACAAAAGAGCTGATGCATACCCATAATTAATTTTAGCAGCTGTTGTTTTTGTATGTTTGTGTATTGGTGTTAAAGAACAGTAAGTATGCTGCAATTTTACTACAGTCCACAGATCATGAAAAATTTTTGGCACAGTCTTCATAAATAAATTATTAACTACAATTGACTTTTCTGGAAATAAATTGTTACTTAAACTTTTCCCTCTCAAGTTCAGGAAACACAAATTTGTCTTTTATTGAGATACATGGATCCTCAGTCTACTTATTGTCTTCTCTGTTTTGTGCTGTCAAGGGCGCTCATGATTCGTTTTTGTGTACATTACTGCTACAAACAGTCCATCTTCAAATCCTCTTGTTTAACTTTAGGACTTCTGAAATTGCTACCTGCGGACTTACTTTAGTAGTAGTCACTGTTTTGTATTTCTGCCCTTTATTCCATTCTTTTAAAAGTTAAAAATATGCAAATTTGAAGTTCTGTTTTTCATGTTAAAAGATGTGCTTTTTTTTTCCTTAGTGTGTTACATAGTGGTCTTGAACATTAAAGTTCAAATACCAGTTAATTTAGGACTTTATCAAGTAAGTTTTAGTATGCATAAATTATAGAGGTTTTTTTTACATAAGTATTTATATCTTGGACACTTTAATATTTGGGTGATGGCTTATTCTTGCATATTGTCAGCAGCTTCCTTTTTTCATTACCAGACGTAAATCTGAGTTTTGGATATACATACTTTTCTGGCCATGTGTAATAAACCTTTAGAAAGTCATGTATGCTCTAGAAAGTAGTGATGTAAAATAGATTGTTATAATATCTTTGTTCATATTTCAGAGTTTGAACTGAGAGAAATTCAGCTTGAAAACATTTGGCTACAATGTTTTGTTACATTAGTACATTTTACCTTCTGTAAATCACTCTTATTTTGCAAGTGCCATACTTATAGTCATCTATCTGTAGGCAACATCTATTTTTATTAGTGAAAAATAGACAAGAAAAAGTTATGGGTTGCATAGAAATAACTGATGACAAAACATACAATTTACAAAAGTTTTTTAGAGTTAATGCTGTGATTTCTTTTTTGCTTGTTCAATAGTTTATCTGACTCGAGAAAAAGGACTCGTACAGGAAGAACTTGGCCTGCTGCAATACCACATTTGAGAAGAAGAGGTCGCTTTCCACGGAAAGCTCTCCAGACTCAAAACTCAGAAATTGTAAAAGATGATGAGAGCAAGGAAGATTACCAGTATGATGAACTCAATACAGAGATACTTAACAACTTAGCAGATCAGGAGTTACAGCTCAATCATCTGAAGAACTCGATTACTAGCTATTTTGGTGCAGCAGGTAGAATAGCTTGTGGGGAGAAATACCGTATTTTGGCTCGTCGGGTGACACTTGATGGAAAGGTGCAGTATCTTGTGGAGTGGGAAGGAGCAACTGCATCCTGACTGTAGGACTGAACATTATGTTCACTGCACTGTCATATGTAAGTACAGTTCATAATGCAGAGCCTCGAGAGAAACGTGTCTTTAAATGTGTTTCTGAAAAAAACAAAACAAAACCAGTTTAGCCTTAACATGTAATTGTTACCATTACAGCTCTTGTGATAAAGACTTATCTTTTTAAAATCTGATCTGAAACTTAAATTTTTTAATCTAAACATTGTTAGATTGTTTTAGGTTGGGATATTTTGGGTTGCAATTGCTTAAAAATGTGCATGGTGTTTAAAAAAAAAAAGAAAAAAGTTTTCTAGAGAACATTCCATGGATACAGTTATTGTGATTTAGAGAAAATACTATGTAGATAGCACAAATTTTGAGAAATTTCGGTTTGTTTTCTTACCCAAATGTTTGCAGAAATGTATTTCTATTTCAATACTTTCTAGATTTCATAAGTGCAGTGTATATAATGCCTACTGATGACTGTAAAATACTGAAGTTTTCTTTCAAAGTGTAAAAAAAAAAAAAGAAAAAAAAAGAAAAAAAAGAAAAATATATTGAGCCTGTAAATTGCTCTGTGACCAGACTTCATTGTCTTCTTAATATATTCTTTGTGTGTATGTGTGTGTGCGTGCATGTGTGTGCATATATACATGTGTATATAAGCGCACACATACTTGTGTGTGTGAGTATATATGTGTGATTGTGACCTATGCAATACAAATTATGGGATCGGGCAGCTTCTGAGAATACATCCCATAATTCTTTTTTCAGGAATAGTTGCCAGTATTTACACAGCAGCATTTCTTCTCAGGCTTATTGGGTGCTGTTGCTTTCTATGTACTAAGGAAAAGTGTCAAACCAGTGCAGTGTGTTCTGGCAATGGGTGCAGTCATTGATGTTCATATGCTCTAGGTTATATGTGCCATTGTTTTCCATGTGAATTAACTGTTAAATAATGCAGGATCTGAACATTTTGAAATTAACTCCGCTAGAAGTAACAATTTGGAAGTTCTTGTGGCACTCTGATTGTAAATTCTGTGTCCCAGTTATAAACTAAGTTGACAGCAGTCGCACACCAGATTCCTACATATCTGTAGAAACAGTCGTATTTTCATAAATGTAATATGAGCAAAGTGTATTATTGCACAGGGTCAACAAACAGTTTGTTGCCATTTGAAGTAACGTTACTGATTTTATTACAACATTACCTCTTTTGTTCTTATGAAATGCACCAAGTTTTAAATAGATAAGTTGATTTTACTTGTTTAAAAGAAAAGTCTCTTGCCAGTATTGGGCATTTTCTTTGTCTGCTACTTTTGAGGGGGTTTTAGCCAAAGAGTAAACAGAAGAATACTTTTACTTCGGTGGTTACTCAGTGTACTGCATAAGGTTAGTTTTCTTACTAGCTTAGGGTTTGCCACCAAACTAAAACAATGTAACATTTACAAATGACAAAGTGTTTTAAAGTGTACTGCTTGGGTTAGTACTTACTCCTGTACTTGATTATTTGACTTTCTTTTTCTGCTCATCTTGAACATCTTGAAAAGGTGAATTTTTTTTTTTAAATACTTGTTTCCCCCCCCCTTTATTTTCCTTTTATTTTATTTTTCCCCTGTCACCTTATAGCCAAAGGAAGCAGAGAAAGCTTTTTATCCTGTGCTTGGCTTATGGCTGGCCAGGTAATAGTAGCTTTATAAAAACGCTAATTAAAAACTGCCACTTCTGTTTACCTTCACTAAAATGTGTGTTTTTTTTCTCACACCCTCAGCTATTAATTTAATGTTGCCTTGCCTATAGCTGCAATATTTTGATAACACAGCAACTTCATGTTAATTTTTGAATGTTTGTATCTTGGGATAATGCAACTGTAAAGCCTTTGTAACTTTACCCACACCATCTGTACCTGTCTCTATTGTTTCACTTTATCCAAGTCCTTTAATTCTAACTGAACACCAGCAGTATTTTTTCGTAAAGCTTCATTTAAAGATAAATATTGGAATGTACTTGGGGACTTTAGTGAAGGGGGAGAAAATATTTGTCATATAAGCTGTCAATAAGCTGTCCGTAGACTTAACTATTGTGAATGTTGTTTCATTTTATGGTGGTTGACTTGACTCTGATGTTCAGTTTGTATTTTTGGAATTGCTTTTTTCTTAGAATTAAAAGACCGACATTAAATGTGTGTATTTTTTGAGAGAGAAGAACGAGTTTTGATTCTGTATTCTTGTGAAGTATGTACTTGGTGGCATCCTCCCATCTGTTGTTTCTCTAACTTTGCTGTTGCTGTCCTGGAGGCACTTGCCCTGCACACAAACACTAACTAGTGTTCCACTTACGGTTGAGGGATGCTTGGCTACAAGAGGTCATGTATTGGGAAATGCTGCAATAGTGTTGATGAAGATACAGCTAGAGTAGCGATTAAAGCACACCTACAAATGCCTTTCTCATTGTATGTGAATTTCACTGCATGTAGTAATGGAGTCTCTAAAGGAAAAATACAAATGTTGCTGTATGTAATAGTTTCATTTTGGTATGACTTGATCATTATGTGTATGCATGTGTGTAAATATATGTAATTCAACCTTGCTGTGGTCACTGATTTAGAACCATTTCTATGTGTATCAGATTTAATATTTTTCCATCGTGTATTATTCGTATTGCTGTAGTATTTAGGAAGGTGAAATCTCTCTTGAGGCCATTCTAACAATGTAGGCATTACATGAGCATGACAGCAAAGAAATAGTACATGACTGGTCAGAAATGTAAAATAATTGTCATGGGAAGCTACTTGTCAAACCGTTGTTCTCAACAAAAACTTCAAGAGGAATTTTGAATAAAATCTGCTTTTCTATGCATAACAGGCATTTTGAGTAAGATTATAAAGGAATTTTGAAAAGTGTCTCAGCTTGGTGTGGGAAATGAAGGTCAGTATTTCGATTAAACATGAAGACAAATAAGAGGCCTTGAAGGTGCAGACAAGCAGTTCAGGGAGTAGGGGAAAAGATAAGTGGGTAAACAAAAATGGGTATGTCTTTGTAATGTCCTACTAAAGTGATCTTTAGTATTATATTTTAAAAGGAAACTGGTGAATTGAGATGGAACATGTCAAGGCTGGAGCCGGAGCAGTAGTCAAAACACAGTGATAAGGACAAACTGGACAGGATTATCAGTTCTGTGCACAGAGGGAAGAGGATGAATCTTGCAAATGCTATGCAGGTAATTTTCAGGCTTTAAATAGCATCATTTCTCTAGTTCCCATCTGCCTGAATGCAAAGTAACACTGCAGTTAAGGGTATGATAGCAGAAAATATTTTCTAGAGATGGAGAAGAGGATTTAGGATGGTAAATTGGGTTTGGCCAATGCTGAATTTAAGCTGATGGCTGAATACACATGTGTCTTTGGACACTTTAAAATAATTGGGAACTGCTAATTCAGCTCATGCCTTCTTTCCTCCCATGCTTTTTCTTCTCTGCTTGTGGTAATGAGCCCAGTATTATAGGTGCACACCTGCACAGGTAAGTGCTGAAGTGTTAGTTTGGGAACTCCTGTTTATTTGGCCACTTGGTGACGAAGCTTGCTTCCTTATTCCCAGTCTTGTGGTGTCCTCCTGTGGGAGAGAAGTGACTGGGAAAAATGATTTCAGGAGAGGCAACATGAGTAATACCTGAAGCATAATTAGGGCTTTGGGGGTGGTGGTGTGTGTCTGGGTCTGCCTTTTTCATGTCTCTCTGGAGAATGCAATCAAGAGTTGTCTCATTAACTGTTAGGAACAGGATTGATATTTTTTAATTTTTTTTCATGAACAGTCATGGGTATCTTTGGTTTTTACTATTCCCTGAAATCCTCCAGCATAATAGAAAAATTACCTTAATTAGTTGTTTAATACCTGGTCCTTTAATGTAATGTTGAAATGAAGATAGACTGTACATAAATGCTCTAAAAATATTTCTGTTTGCACTGTGCTGTACTTACAAACTTCTCTTCTAATTTTGTAGGTATTAGGTGGAGAGTGAAGAAAGGTATCTTGTTTCTATAAACTTGGTACATGCTAAGGGAAGAAAAGGGACTTGTGAGCTGTATGGGTTCCAAGTCTTACTAATTATAGCTATTGATAGCATGAGAGAAGATGATGTAACTCGGATGCTTCTGCTGAAACTTCAGCAGTGCAGGTGTGTTTACTACCATTTATAAATTTCTTATTTTAATAATTTTACTACTGTTTTAGTTACCTTAAACTGTTGGTTTTGACAACAGATTCATACAATAAGGCATAGAGCTTCTGCTCATTTCTGCAACAATTTACAAGTACAATGCTTGCTCATCTCATCATTCCTCCAGTGTGAATAGCGAGTTTCTGTGATACAATACTGCTGGAGCAGGGGGAAAGCATGGAAGAGGGAAGGGCGTAACATAAGCCATTTCTTAGCAGTAACTAAGAATTGTTTGTCTCATGTCTGCACCAAAAGTGGCAAGTTTTACAATTAAAGTCTCAAGAGAATTCCTCTTTAAAATGAGGGAACGCACAGGAATTGTTAGTTTATAAAGACATCGGATACAGCTCAGCAGACTACATGGTTTCAGATTACCTTTTTTAACTGTTGAAGATACTGAATCTTTAGGACAAATTGCTATGGAAATATTTATTTTAAAAATACTTAGAGAGGAAAAATGTGTAATTGCTGTGGCTGGTTGAATAAAATGTTTAGTAAGGTGATCTTACCACTGTACTACATAGTCATAGACTGAGGAGAGTGCTGCAACCTGAAAAACAAGCAGAGCTACGACAAGGAAGTGCTGCACTGCACTGAGATGCAAGGGACTTGTGCTAGTCTACAGGAAGAAGTGAAGGCAGAAGGTGTTATTTTTCATGGTGTGTGCTTCAAGAGACCAGTTAAGGGAACTGCATTTTGGATGGCTGTGTCCAAAAGCGCTTTTGATTATTTTCACTGAACACATACCTTTTTGAGTCAAACCACTGTTCCTTCTACTATTAACTGTCTGATCTGGCAACACAATGTTGTACTGTAGTAGTTTAATTATTTACTTCATCAGTTCAAACACAGTACAAAGAGGAAGTTCCTGTTTCGTTATTTGAACAATGCGGTTAGCAGGCTTCCGGAGAGGCCAGGTTTATTGAGAGTCTTGTGAAGTGATAAACAAGATCGAATTTGTCTTGTGTAGCACTTGACTAAACTGAAAAAACTGCCCCAAAATGTTCAGCTTTCCATCTCAGGATCTTGTGTATATGCTTATGAATAATGTGAAATTATTGTATATTAATAACTAGTATTGGGTTTCTTGATTGCTACACCTTAATAATCTGTGATACTGCTTTCCTGCTTCCCTTTCATTTTTCTCTACATGTTTGATTTTAATGACGATACCTAATGAGAAATGGAAGTACTTAACATTGTGAAATTGTTTAGAGGAAGAAAATGTATGTATTAATGGAAGTACTCAACAGATCACTAGATGTCAGCTGATTTTTGCTGTTGAAGAATACTTTCCGAAATTCACATGACCAATGCAGTGTTGTTAATTGTAAATGCACAAACATGCACATAAGTCAGAACAACTGATCAAGACTAAGTGCCTTCTGTAATATGCTTTCTAAAAATGGTTTGTGAGAACAGATGGTCATTGGGTTAGAGTACTCTAAAGTGTATTTTGAATTCAAATGACTATTTGCTGCTGTCTTTCTGAGCTATCACAACCTTGCAAATTCCCATTATCTATTCCTTGAGGTGTTTCCTCCCACTGTTTTTCTGAAGTGAGAAACTTGGGACTTGTTTTAGTTAATAATGTGTAATGCTCAACTAGACAAACATTTTCCCAAAGTCATGGGTGTTGATTTAATACTAAGGCATCTTGATTTAGGCTAGCCTTTGGTCTTGCTGTCTCTTCTTGGAAAGCAGAAATTCAGTAATACTACTGAGTCTTCACTAGTCTCAGTAGTAATACTGACCCCTGCTATAATTTTGCGCAAGACAATACCTACTGTTCTTCCTAGAATTATTCTTGAAGTTGCCTGCATAACTGGCACTTGCGCTGTTCTTGTGTGTGTAATGAACTCCAGGTGCGATATGGAGTGTAAGTATTAAGGTACAAATATTTGGGGGGGGGAATCCAAGGCTCATATGTGACATGCATCTGAGAGCTTCAAAACTCAGTGTGCTCTATTACAAAGATAAGAGGTTGGTATAATTCTGACCTGACACCTATGCAAATCTTAAGTTATTTCCATTGCTGAAGTTGATTTTGGGCTACACTGAATA